ACATAACCTGATGGATCACGCCTCAGTCATCCTAATCTGAATACAATACAATGCAATACAATACAAGTTTTATTGTCCACTCCCCATGGGGGCTTTTCAGAGACAATGATAAAATACTGAAAAATTATTAACAAAATTACCTACATATAAGATTTATGACATTAAGAACTGATTTAAAAGGACAGCGCTTTCATTTTACGTTTAAAAATAGTAAGAGAGCCACTTAGTTGGACTAGTAAGATATATGCAAGGTTGCGACAATTTAATTCATATTTTTCTTTCCCAGTTTTTGTGTTCTATTTGCCCTCAAGGAAGCCAAAGTGTTGACGAAACTAGAGAACATCTACTTTTGTGGCAGCAGTCACAAAGTCGGTCAATATGAATACGTTACCACCTGTTATTAAACTTCTCTTTTTACGTTCCTTGGTTATATCATCATCTGTACATTCTTAAAATTCCTCGTTACAATTTCAGCCTGGGTGGTTTTTATCATAAGCCAATTATCGAAAATTGTACTTTCAGTTTCTCTAAGGTTTATGCAAAGTACTGACGTACGCAAAAGTTGTTAAATTTAGTTTGAAATCACTAGGGCTCTCGGTTTCATACTCCACCAGGAGGGACTCCTGATTCACCCTTTGAACAACTGGGGTCAGGTCGTAATTGCAACAAGCATTTTATGGTACACTACTGACCGTGCCCTGAACTCTTAACACTATCTTTTCAATAATATACGAATGAGTTGTTTTCAAGGTACTACCACCTCAACCGAACTCGGAACATGCCTGCCCTTTTTCATTTCACAACGTTAACGGGAACTGACTACGCGGCACAGACAAACATACCAGGTGACTCATCTTCAAGCTGGCGTTGCTTCCGTAAATTGAGGCATTCAGCTAAATAGGCAATGTGGAGAGTATCACTAGCTATCCACGATTGTTCATTGAAACCTTGTTCATTGGGAATTTAAGATAGCTATAATCCTCATTGATAGCAACTCACCTTTTCTTGTAAGGATAGCAATTCCTTATTTTCTCTATCTTGTTCTTTCATGATTGGAGGTAAGATAGTATCCGGCTCAGCTTGTGAAGTCAGATCAGGCTTTCTCTTTTCTTTTAAACCCCTGATATTACCGAGTCCTAGAGCGGGTGGTCGACTCATATTCGACGAAGGCCTGTGTGGACCAACGGGCAGGTTATCTGGAAAAGATCTCGGCTGGAGCTTTACACTCTGAACAACCAACCGCGGAATGGTGTGATATCTTATCGGCTTCTGAGGGACCCGTCTCCCAAGAAGTCGTGTCATATTACTCAGCGAGATTGCACCAAATGTATCTGCCATTGTTAGACCAACGTTACAACAAATGTGTTTTAAACTCAACCAATGTTCTTTTCGAAATTAAATGCACGCACAACATTTATGACATAATAGTCATAATTAACATTAATTTGCGCGCGCCTTGGATCATTATCAGACAAGAGAGGATGAGGAGTAATGGAATTCACCTCCCATGTAGACCTTATTCTTGAGGTAATCTATCTCAACTTATTTTTATCTCACTTTCGGGTTCACAAATCTAAGAGCGGTCTGGAAATAGCCGATCCTGTGAAGCAGATTTTGCTCAGGTGGACACAGGCTAAGCGGCTTTACACGTCTTTTGCTGTCATCCTCCAAGAGATCATCTTTGCAATGCGTGTGTAACATTATCCGCGAGAGAATACCTTATCCA